GCATTGTACTTATTGTTAACGTCGTCGAACGCAGCGGACGTCATAATATATATAAATATAATATTATGCATTTTTGTAATAATAATACTTAGCGTAATAGGTACAACWGTGTTAGGTTTGTGCATCGCACCCGAATGATCAAATTGCGTATTAATAGCCATCAAAAAGTAATTTTTATKATGTAACATAATAATAACATTTATGTAATTTCATATCGCGCGTGTGTATTATACGTCGTATTACCTACCACTACACTTTCGATATAGACATACATACATACTATCATTATTATTTTTATTGTATTCGATGTATAATAACTTTAATAAGCGAACAATAATGTTGTGTAAAAAGCAAATACTCAAATCGTGTGCGTAATTTTATAATCCGTAATAATAATGATAATAATATCGTCGACGTGTTGCAATTAGATAATTTGATATGAAATGTTGAGTACACAATATTGTTATTATTAATTCTCGTAAAATATCAATAATATACCATGTTTGTTTAACTATTGCGGTGTAGCCTATGATAATCAAAAATAAAAAATAAAAACAAATAATKATAATAATTAATAATAGGTATTATTATTATTATGTAGGTAAAATAGGCAGATACTTACTATGATAGCTGATATACCGGACATTCCATAGTTTATAATATCGCGTCCGTATACAGAGCTGCTGTAGATAGTAGATACCTCCATCTCATCGTGTCCCTTTCCGCCTATGACATATACATACGACCCTACAGCGCGCGGTATTATCCTTATATAAATGYGATAATATATTATTGTATWAATGTTATAAATTTATTTATCGTTGAACCATAGCATGATCATGATATTATCACACAAATATTTTATTGACTAGAAATCTACTTCGCCGTACCTTTACACATACTGACACTCACGCGTATTTACAATAATATTGTCGTTGCGCGACGAGTCCATCACCACTCTAAAACACGGAATCTCCCCCCCTCCCCGGACAACCTACCTGAACACCAAAGGCAGTCGAACTTTACCTGCTCGTCTCGGTCGCAGTGTCACGCACCGCGGCGTTAGGTGTACCTACTTCCGGATGGGTTTTTCGCTCTTCCGGTTTTTTGCGATTCTCCGTGTCTCCCTAACCGCGAACCGCATGATAAGACACTATAGTGAAAATCCCTCAAACACACGATACCGYATGAATATTAAAACAAAACATGAATAATCGAAACAATACGCGACTGTTTATAGTAATAATATGTTTTTGTAGATTTCAATCGTAACGYACCTACTACTTATAGTATTTGCTTTAATTTAATTTCCGGGCGGCGTCACAAAGACGCTTTGGACGTATTCACGAATTGACTAGCATAGCCTGACCTAGCCACCTAGTTAACCATCAGCTGCCCAACTGTCTGATGCGATGAATAATTCAGTC